CCTGATTGGTTACTGAATATTTGCGCATTACCACGCCATTTTAAAATTTTATAATTCATCTCTTCAAATTCTTTAGATTTCACAGAAAATGGATATGTCCTTTTCAAAGATTAATATTGTTATTGGTAAGTACCAAGATTTATTGGTATCGGAATAAAAAAAAATTGTCCTTTGAGACCTTATTTTGGTTAATCTGGCTTTCCTAATCAAAGATTTATTTATAAATTTTTACAAGGATCAGAAGAAATTTATTTTTAATTTTTGGAGGAAACCTCACTAATTGCTTCTTCAATGAAGTGCGAGAAATGTGGATCACAGAAGAAGATCATTAGAGGAGCTAATTCTGAGGATGACCGTATATGGTATTGTGGTCAACAGTGGAAGAAATAACCGCTGTAACGGTAAAAAAAGTATTAGACATTCCTCCTTTTTTTTACCAGCAATAAACTAATTGCTGTCATTTTAGCTTTTTAACATTTAGTCTATGAAACATTCTTCTTATTTAGTTATTTTAAAGTATTTGAATTTAAGTGCAGTCAAAAGTCGTTAATCCGGACTCGTCGGGACTTCGGCGATTCCAGATTATCGATTTTTCCGGATTATAGATCATCAGTTTAAATCTGGTAAGATGGCATGCAGAAATTACAAAATTAAGAATATGAAACATAATTTATGAAATAAAGAACAATTATGATCTAAAGGGTATCAAAATTTACAAAAAGAAAAAGCTTAATTTATTTGTTTACTTATTAAACATTTCTTTCAATGAAGTTGTTTAGTTGCTCATTTTCATTTGTGACCTAATCGTTAAGTCTATTTTAAACAAAATAATTTTGTTGAATTAACGTTAATTCGTCCTATAAAATGTGTCAGAAGAATACCGAACTAATTGTCAACGAAAATGTTTTCGTTTTCCATAACTCTCTGTCACACTTCACTATCGGAATGCGAATTAAATTTACGAGAGAACTTGATTTAAGAAAAATATCAACGGACGGCTAGTTACATCGGCTTAAATACTACCATAGTAAGGGAACTATTACTTAAGCCACATTGAAATAAAAAACATTCTGCACTGAGATAAGGATAGTTGCTGACAGATGATACTGCCAGAATCATGTGAAACGCTGCGACATTCAAGGCGAGAAGTCAATTATAAGCGTCGGAGCGGTGGACCGCAGCTTCAGCCATCAACTAGGTATATGAACGCGGTAACACTTGGTGGTTCGCAGAAAAAGGAGGTCGCTAAGCATTCTACAGATAAGGAGTAGGGCAACCTGTGCGATGAGAAGCGCAGGTGTGTGCAGGTAGAACGCGGAAGGCACAGGTTGATGGAGCGGTACGGATGGATGGAACCTCCACGCGAGATCAAAGAGTAGAGTGTGTGAGTGGGGAGCCGCGGAAGCTGCGCAGGATGATGGAGCTCCTCCCAGGGAACAGATTGAGACAATTTGGTGTTCGGTCGCCAGAGCGAACGCCGACTGGAGGCAAGGACAGGAGACTCCTGAACGGGCGGGCAGAATATGCGATAGGATGTATGGAGCAGTAGCGATACGGAGATTGATGGCGGCCAGAACAGGAGGGATAGGTCGGGCGGGAGGGAGTGTATAAAGTGAAGGATAGTAAAGGACGATACGAAGGGTAAGAAAAGAGTAAGGGAAGCAAACTTGACTGGAAGGGGAACGAAGAGGTAGAGACCAGCTACCCTTCCCCTTATCACACACCAGGAGTGTTTTATGTTCCTGGCTCCCACATTGCACCTCGGCAGATGCAAGAAGTTGAAATTGATCACCCGATTGTCGGAGATTTCTGAAACAACATACTTTGCTTGGCATTATTATGTAAATCTAATGCAATCGTCGACTATTAGTAAAAAATCAGTATCTACGTAATTATGATACTCGGAAATTCTATTTTGACATAATCAAAAGTCAAGCTTACTTTTTTAAATTGCTCTAACAGTCTGGCAAAACCTTCAAATAATAAGCAGATTCCAAATTCGAAGATTAAGCAAAATCGCCAAATTCATCCACATTAATGAAAGGCCGATAATTACGATGAATTTAAGCTTGATACGTTCGTCTACTTACACTTAAACGCGCATGCATTGAAATGTTATTCTGTCTTGTACGCAAACAACCGAATATGCGCAGTCGTAAAGGTCTTACACGCACGCGTTTAAATGGCTTATGCGCGATGCGCGCAGAAGTATTTTAGCTGTGCAGGTCCGGACTATGGGTGTCCGAATTAACGACTCCAGTTTTCACTCGTATATGTTTAATTCTTTTACATCATTGAATCATGATGGTTTTAATTATATTCAAATTAAGTCATATTTAACCAATTAAACATTTGGAGCATGTATTCTGATAGCGGTGTTTTCTACTACACTAATGCCCCCTAAATTAGGATAATGCAAAATCAGGAAAGAAGAGTTAAAGCAAAGCAAATTGATTATTTGTAAGCAAATTAGTAAACAAAAGGTTAAAGAGCAAAAAAAGAGTTATAGGTTCGATATTTAAAAAAATTAGCGATTTTTTCATTGAGTAAATTAAAAAAAAAAAAAAAAAAAAAAAAAAAAATTTACAAAAAAACCAATATTACAGGGTGGCATGAGTGTTATATATTGTATGCTCACGGACGATGGCAATACAGTCCGTACAACGCCTAGGCATGTGGTATCAATTATCAATCTGATCTTGGGGATGTACCACCTCAAAAAGCCAAATGTTCCGAAGTTTGGAGGTGTAGGGGAGTTGACGGGCCTGCAACTCGTCGCCAAGATGTCCACACGTGCTCTACTGGATTCAAGCCCGGTGAGAATGCTGGCCATACGGGTGAATCCTCGATGAAGCATTCCCGATTTTATGATGTGAGGCCTTGTCTTTGTCATCTATAAAAACAAATTGTGCGCTCATGCGCGCCTAAAGAAACAAAGTTGTTCCAGAATGACCGTTTCGCCGATTCGATTTTGGCTGTCCTGGTTCCATTTGAAACACGCAGGGTCCAGTAGATGGTAACCAAGAAATCAACTTCCACCCCAAGAGAACTCCTGACACCACCGCTAATGAGTATTGTATTCAAATGATGTTTCTGTGGTGGAAGTGTTGTACACGGACTCCTCCTCATGAAAGCTCAGAGCGAGAAACCAGACTGCAAGCTAAACCTGACCTCCGACTGGAAAACATCACACCGAGCCACTGTTGCGGTCTGTGTACACTCCCTTTACTTCAGCTAAGCGCACGGAGATCAGTGAGTTTGCAGTAAGTGGAAAGGTTCTGAAAAGGTCTATAAGATATAAGAGATAATCCTGCCCTAAGCCATCCTGTAAGCACGGGATGCTTATGAAATTCTTTGTTGTTGACCAGTGGCTGAAGAGAGCTGACAGGTAGACAGGTATGAGGCCTTCGTAGGGCCCTACCGACCTCCTGTTTCTTTTGGCTCCTAATCTGCCGCAAATACCTGGGTCTCTCGGATATGATAACTCTGGCTCCAGTCACCCTTGTTTCTGTTAATGTTACTACTCCCTTACCCAAACGTATTCCCTTGATATCGTTGCTCTAAACGGCCTGGTAGTGACAATGTAGCGGCGAATTCCAAAGTTCGTCTGATTACGGTGTACCTAAGGTTGTTATGCCCGACCCATGCGAGCCGCACGGGACTCCATGGGGGCTAAATGTATACCACGTACACAAACATCATCCATAAGTGCGTCCGTTGTGTGTAGTAACTATTCGGTATGGGCACGTTAAAGGCTTATCTTAAAAAGTTTGCTGCTTTGCGGAACATAAGTCTTTACTTCTTTGTGCCGTATTCAAGTTACTATATTACTTCTCTTACACTCCGTCGTGCATTCGTTGATCGGTACCATCGGTGTGTCATTCTCGGTTAGCTTCTCTGAAATTTGGCATATGATTCTTGAAGCATGGTTTGCTGTTGTTGTGATTTTAAGGTGAATACTTTATTCTTAGAGTGTCGATTACCGAGATTGACGTGTCCTCTTCTCGCATAGCTGTAGTGCTCGCCTCTCAGGTTTTCGTGGAATTCCTGTATTATGGGAACACTTTGAGTGTGAGATGTTATCACTTTCGCGTGATCCCTATTTGGCGTAAAATTTTATGGACCCGGATAGACAGTAGATGATCTTCTGCTTCATTTTTTTAATCCGGCTCATGCTGTTAATAGTTAACGTTACCATTGCTAATTCTGCTTTGGGATTTGCTGCTTAACAAGTTCAATTTCCACGCTGACTTCTGAAGTTATCCGTTATTAAATGAATTTTTTTTGTTTGTTTTTTTTTGTTGATCTTGTAACCGTCTCACTTCCTGAGGGTATTCAGGTGCTATATGAAACGTAAAATAAATTTAACCTACCTTTAGGTATTGTTTACGCTTAGATAGTAGATGTATTTATTTTTACTGTTTGCCTCCATCTTAAAAAACAATCCAATTTCAACAAAAATTAATCTATTATTTTTAATGATATTTATTTATTTATTTATTTTTAAGTTTTGAATACTTTACTATGCACAAAATACATAAAAACAGCGTTTTCAAGATGGCTGATGATTGCAAAAACCGCGCCAACAATTGCGCCAAAGTAAATCGCCAAAAATGTGTGTAACCGTCTACCAATGTAGCACCAAGAAATTAAAACATTACTTAAGAAAGTACAAAAAGGAACTTATATTTCAAAGTATGTGAATGACTCTATCAATCACAACATTTGAGTATTAATTTTTTATCATAAGTGGAAATAAAATGTTTTTAGTAAAGTCAATAAAACAAAATGTTATTATCATAAAACGCTATTTACTAAATTTTATCAATATTTTATGATATGATTTTTCAGTCTTTGCTAAAGTTCCTACAAAGCAGTACATGCTTATATGGAAAATTAGTAGGGTTTTGGATGTTTAAACGTCAAAAGATAACAAACATGTATTTTTTTTAATTAACTGTAATAAAAAGTAGGCTACAAAAAGTATCATGCTAACTTACATTTATGATTGTTTTTCCTTGGTTCTCATCTAAATTTGCTGGTGACAGACAGTTTAGGCATACCTTTCGCATCTCGACTACAAATTTTTCAAATTCTTTTAGCATCTCAAAAATGCTTAAACTGTCAGTTTTTTTCCTACACTTTGCAACAAAAAAGTCCCATAAAGACACATCCTGGGAAAATTTAGGTAGAAGAGTTTCCAATAATTCCTTATCAGAATAACTTTTCAAAATCTAAAATAAATACACATTATGAAAACTCAGCAAAGCAAAATATAAACAAATAGTAATTCTAACTAAATATTAAAAATAATATGACAGTTTAATTTCCTATAAAAGTTTCTCACAAAATTCAGATATATAAAGCAGTTTAATATAAACAGATTTAGATCATGAATGATAGCAAAATTTTAAGTGCTGCATATTTACAGATATCAATTCTCAAGTAGAACAAATAAACTACATAAAAGAATTATTAAGAAAATTTTTAGGGATTAAAAGTTTAATATTTCTGTTAAATTACTCAGCTAATGATACAGGTAAGAAAATAATTTATGATTCAGTGAATAGACATCATTTTAATATGCTTCAGGGTATTAAAATATGCAAACAGCCTCTTATATTAGAAAGCTTAATATCAAATAAATAAAGCTACTTTTTTAAAAAACACATACTTTTGAACTTTTCTTACTCTGGACAACTTTAAACTCAGAAAGAGAAAAACACAGAATACGGACCATGACCTACAAGAACGCTCACTCACTCACAGACTTCACATCCCAATCTAAATTTGCACAGCTGCGTGATACAGTAAAACCTAATAACATTTCTGACGAATTGCATTAACCGGATTCCCATTCTAAATACACTCTTTGAGAATTTTACAGTTACTTGGGGTCGCTGGAAGTTGCGCTTGAGTTACTTGAATTTAATCCTTCAATTTATAGGTCGATAAGTTAAAATATCTACCAACATCCGTATGTACGTGTTAATTGAGGTGAATTTTTCTTATCAACTTTCTACAATTATAAAACAATTAAATCTTCGAATTAATTTCAATAAGAATTTACACAATGTTAGACCATGTTCCTAGATACCTCATTTAAGTCTTGATTGTTCTTCTGTGCTGACAGAAGAACCTTCACGATTGTGTTGGAGCAGAAAGCTCGTTGCTGTAACGAGTATAGCATGAACCACCTCATAGCGTAAAACTATTCGTTACAGCGATGAAGGATTAATTTGTAGTATTCTGATATTGTACGGTGTGCTTCGCCCACCAGAACTACTCGAAAAATAGGATGATGCCTACTGAAATGTGTAGAATTGTTCATCGGAACGACGAATAAATGAATTCCCTGAAGATGGAAGTCTTTATTGTTATTGATCAGGATAATATTAATGACTGTTTAAACCCGTTGTAGTTCATTTTAAAAAGACTAAAACTACTTTACTGTGATAGATGAAGTGAAATAGATAAAACTATAAAAATTTTGAGAGAGAAAACAAAAAAAAAAAATAAAAAAAAAAAATCAAACAAATACTGAATTTCTTCTTGGCAATTCAGACTTTTCATTATTATTGTCGTAAACACAGGGGCGATGATAAATACCTTCAACTTGACTTAGTATCATTATTTTAGATCATTCGGTTTTCTTTTTAGATACTTTGGTCGATCAAATTGCCACCAATATCCAATGAGGGGAAATTCGAAACCACAACTGGGTCATCTGCCAAATAATTTGGATTTAAATCTGTCGCTTGGCTGAAAAGACTTCCTGCATCATTTAATATTTTTACATACAACCACACACGAGAGAGTACAGGAACGATCTTTACAGAACCACATAACAAAAAAATAAAAAAAAAAAAGAAAAAAGCCTTCAAAGACAGATGACTTCTATCAGCAGCAAAAAGTTTTAATAATGCATATTTTATGTAATATCAGTTATCATCAAGAATATAAATTTTATCTCACTGGTATCTTTCATCTGTTTATAAACATTTTGCACCTACACATAAGCACCACACTTTAATATTCTGTATATATTTTTCTCCTTTTTCATTTTAAAGTATTTACTTCTAAATTATTTTAATGTGACTAAGATATAAAAGACCAGTCATAAAAATATCTTCATAATTCAAAAAAGAAAAAAAAATTCTTAAGCTGTATACTTTATACTCTCTTCAGAATCTATTGGATAGAACAGCTTTCTTGATTATCACAGCTATAAAGTATGATTCAAGTAGTGAAAAGTGTACTTGAAAAAACATAAAAAAGTTTAAAATTTTGGCTAAATTTCATATGCATAATCTGAATAATTAACTACCTAATTAAGTTATGTTATTAGCATTTTACGTTTTTCTATACTATTTTCATTTACTTTTAATTATCACTTTTATAATGAGCTGGAAAATCATTTGATGCTATTCTCTAACAATGGATTAACCTTACTGGCATTTTGCAAAACAGTTAAGACCCATTTCATATAAGTTGCTTGCAGTTAATTGAATTAAACAGTATGTTTTAACTAGTTAGTTTAGAGAAATAATATAGTCATGCTATTATTTGCATTTTTATGTACCTGACTGTCAAATAGTTTAAGTTGTAAACAATAAAGAAAGACAATCTTGAAAAATAAATAAATAAATAAAAATTGCTGTCTTACAGACCACATCTACCTATTACATTATGGTAAATACTCTGATATGGATCAGAAAAACATGTCTATGCTTTTGCTTGTGACAATCAGAGAAAATAAGCATGTTTCTAAATACCTGAAAAAAATTATGGCATAAAAATAACACATTGACGTATAAACCAGTACATTTATGATTCACACATGTTTAAACAAACCTTGAGTGCTGACATCTTCACCTTCAGGCATACTTCCATGGCTAGGATTCAGACGGTAATGCCGAGACAGGCCACCTCTACCTATGTATGCTTTGCTACAGGAAGCACAAGAATAATTTCTTTGTTTTGCTGTAGAAACACCTAAAAACCATACAGGCTTCACAATCAAATCCTTAAACATATATCAACTACTTTAAATCTTTTTGCAATTTATAATTTCTTTCAAAAAGACATATATTTACAAAGCTATATCAATATTATATTTCATACTTTTGGTTTAAAATAAGAATTTTACAGAAAATGTGATATAGTTCAAAATTTTTGGTGTACAAAACAAATTCTTATAACAAAACTAAAAAATAAAATTTTATTTATAAATTTTAATTTTGAACAAATAAAAATGACATACTTGCTTTTACTATTACCTACACAAATATACAGTTCAATATTTCTCTGCTTATGCCCAACTGCACTATTTTAAAACATTTGTTTAAATTTCCTATGCAATTACAAAAATTTTGCCAAGATACAGTTTTATTATCATATTTCAAAAAGAGAACAACATTGACAGATTCAATACCCTATTTTTTCCCTCCTTTATCTACTCAGCCTGCATAATAAAATAAAATCAAATTATATTTCAACTGTAAAGAGAGCAAAGAAGTGAACAATTATCAAGGACTCTGACATTTTGGAGCTTTCAAAATTATTGTATGTGATAGTGTGGAGAACTATCTGTCATTCTTGCATTTTAACCCTTTCAGCTCTGATGGTGGCATTTGCCTCCAAATGTAGAGATACATTTATTTAGTAATAGAGATCATTTCATTATTCATCACAAGAGGTCTCATTTAACAGCTTTAAAGCATGTGTTTTCTCAACTTTTTGTCAATATGATTGATCCTCATAGGGGAAGTTAAACGGAAGCAGTCTGATGTCACTATGTTGCATCAGCTCGGACATCGCCTGTTTAAAACTGTAATTCATTCTGTTGCCAGGCTATATTCTAGGAATGTGGATGACCCAAACTAATTAAAATTACATACATTTGCCTTCTAGTAAAGCACTGTCAAAGTCAAACTGGCGGTGAAGTAATTTTATTTTGCCCGCAAATACATTTCCCATAAATTAATTAGCATTATTATAATAAGAATTTGAAAAAAACGTTTAAGGTTTTAAAAGTTTGAAGTCCAGGTTTATGTTATTTTGATTACAAAAAAAAAAAAAAAAAAATGGAATACTTTAGGAAATCTAGAAATGGACTAATTATTTACACTGTAACATATCTTATTCAAAGATTTGGGAATTTTAAATTTGATTAACCCTCGACAACTCATTGTATACGAAATGCCAAATTTTTTTTTTATAATTGAAAAATGCACTTTTTTTTCTAGAAATATTTTTATATAGATTTATCATGAGAAACTAAGGTTGCCAAAAAATCAATTTTCAGAGTAATAACCAACACACACTCACAAAAAAAAAAAAAAAAAAAAAAAAAAAAAAAAAAAAAAAAAAAAAAAAAAAACTTTTTAAAATAAATTTCAGGAATTACAGTTAATTTCTATTTTGGCATATATAAAAAAGTAAAAGTATAAAATTTAAGAAAATAAAGCTGGGGAAAAATACTTTAGAAATGCGTTTAGTATGACAGAGTTCAAACAGGTTTAAGCAAAGTCCAATTTCACAGTCTTTGCACCAGATTCAATAAATCTAATTAATAATTGCATAATCAAGATAATTACGGAACATTTTCTAGCAGCTATTTCTGTAAGAAAAAAGCGGCAAAAACTGAAGTTTGAGCAGTAATACCATGTGCCTTCAAATGCCGCAATTTAGGTAGAACTAACAATATCTGTTGGCCAAAACATAAACTAAACGTCTAATACTGTATATAATTTATTTCAATGGTTAAACGGGGAAAAAACGGGATGCGCTCCTCAATGAAGGAAGAAAGACATATGCCCGCGGAAATCGCGGGATGAGCGAATTTTGCTACATTTGAGACACGCGGAAATCGCGGGATGATCAGCCAGAGGGTTAACTTGCATTAGCACTTGTCAAAAGATAAATACTTTCAGTTACAAATTTCTGTAATAAGAATACTCACTTTTATTTTTGAGTATATTTACATGAAAACAGTTCTTTTTCATAACTGAAAATTAAGTCTGCGAAATGAACCAGGCTGTTGATGAATACCTGCAATTTATGATTATACTTTCTAGTAATTTCCCTCCAAGATTATAGAAAAAAGTTCTTTTTCATAACTGAAAATTAAGTCTGCGAAATGAACCAGACTGTTGATAAATATCTGCAATTTATGATTATACTTTAGTAATTTCCTTCCAAGATTATACACTTCATCAAAATTGAAACATCATGATGTATTGTAGCTGATAAGTGCAGTAATAAAAAACAAAGATGCTTACAATAATTTACACAAAAATATTTTTTTTTTTTCTGTTTGTGTCATAGAAAAATCTAATAGAGATAATAAATAAAAGAGAGCAACTGCAAATACAAGCCTGACCCTCAGAGAATTTTGGAAGGATTGCACAGTCATTAGGGTTTTTTTGAAGCAGAAGTCATGAAAAACGAACAAAGCCCTCGCCGGGACTCGAACCATGGACTTCTCAAATAGGCGCTGAGTGTGCTGCCCAGTACACCATGAAGGTAGGCGGTGGGAGAAAACCTTACATACTACCACTATTAAAGGGTGATTACGGATTAGAGGACCCAATCACCAAATCCTGGTGGTGGAGAATCATCATCTACCATCTTTTTTAGTTCAGGTGCTACTGTAGAGACATTAGATTGTAAGGATTATGTTAATTTACCTTACAGTTAAATTTTGAGTTAAAATTACTTAATATCCCTAATAACCTATCCTTTCTTAATTTCAAGCTTACAACTTCCGCCCAGAACATATTTGTAGAATCGTGGTTGAATACAAATGAGGAGAAGTATTTAACTGTGAAGTTCTAATGACTTCATTAGAGAGAACCAGTGACTCTGACTAGTGCATGTTTGCCTTTTTAGGATACTCTTTCTTAAGCTATTATTACGCTCGACCATACTTTAGGCCCTTGATAGCTTCACCGTTATTTAGCATACAGGGGCCAACTCAAAGGAGTTAGAATCATGATAGCTTCGGCTATATCTTTTTAGTTAAGATTAGTTAAGTTTATTCTTAGGTCCTGAGTTCAAAGCCCGAGGAGAGGCTTTAGGTTAAAACTCCAAGAGGAGTTCTGATTTATTGGAATAATAAAGGGACTGCCCCGTTTCAGTTTATTTCTGTCTGAACTCCAGCGAATTTCGTCTTACCAGTCTAAGATTCTTCAACTTCAACTGTAACTTAAAAGTAAGGTTAGAATCTTGCAAGATATTTTTTTAAAGCAGAAGAGATGAAAAATGAATAATTCCCTGGCCGGGACTCGTACCATGGACCTCTCAAATACGCACCAAGCGTGCTTACCATTGCACCATGAAGGCATGCTAAGACGGTGGGAGAAATATCTTATAGGATCACTTCAATATCCTAAATTGTTTAAACCTCACTAATAAGACTTGGGAAGAAGTCTCAGTGAGAACCCTGAATTCAGCATGGAAAAACCTGTGGCCTCAGAGTATTCCTGACTTAGGTTTCAATCCTCAACCTGTGGACAACACAGTACAGCTAAGTTGAAGAAATTGTATCTCTGGGGAAAAATGGAATTGCAGCAAGAGGTGGTAGAAGACCTTTCGTTAAGGAAGAAGGGAACAGGAGATAATGCCCTCTCTTCCAGTAAGATTAAAGAAGTTTTGACAAAGTGGGAAGAAGTGATAAATTTCTTTGAAGAAAATCACCCTTATAAAGCAGTGTATGGGTGCACCATGAACCTGTCTAATGACAATGTAATGTTGCATTTTAGATGCATCTTAAAAAGAAGGCAGAAGCAAGTGTTGTTAGAGAAGTGTTTGATAAAGCAACTTGCAACTGAAAGAAAGTTAAGGGATTCTGACCCAGAACCTGCTTCCAATGGGATAAAATTCCCAAGAAAAGAGCCTTCCTGAATTAGAGGGGGACTCCATTCCCACAGTAACCCGTTCCGTCTTTCCCACATTCTTATTGCTGGCCAGGACTTTCCAGAAAGGTAAACTACAGTTAGATTATTTACCAGTGTTAAGAAATTAGAAAATATTATTTTTATGTTGATATTTTTGGGGTGAAGAACAGACTCACTGGATTTTCATTATTTGCAAAGGGGAAGTTTGTTTCTAGATACAAGAAATTCGCCATATAATGTCAGTGCTGGAACGAATTAAACTCATATCTCAAGGTTCCACTGTATGCATTTTTGCACTGTAGAAAAGTGCTATAAAATTCATGGAAATGAGAAAGGTAGGGATATTGTATTTCATATTTTTCCAAAGGACAGTTTGCTTTTGGAGAAAGCAATGGATACATGTGTTGAAGACAGGATTCGATTATCTGAATAACACAAGAATTTGCAGCAAACATGTTCTGTGCAGTGATTGTGAAAGTGACATCACTTGTTTGGATTGCTGTGAAACTGTTAAAATCTGATACTGTGCGAAGAAAAGAAAAATAATGTTGAGTGCTTTTTAAAGACTACATTAAATTAAGTTTGAAAAAATTCATCTTAACTGATTACAAAAATGATAGGAATAATAAATTAGATATGAACAATTTTAAAATAAAACACACAAACAATGATTTAAATACTGTTGAATGACTTAATTGTAAAAATAAACAAGAATGCATTGATAATTTATAAAAAGCAAAGCCAGCTCAGCATTTTAGGTAATTCATAATTGCAACAATTAATGCATTTTTGCAAAGTGAAGACCTTCCTTCTTTGCTCCTCTTTTGAATGATTAAGTAATTCTCTTTAGATACTGTGAGGAGAGTTGTTTTGTCAAACTTAAGACAATGATCCTGTATTTATTTGTATGGATGTGAGTATAAGTTATACAATTATTTTAAAAATATGTCTTATTATTTCAAATCAGAAGAGAGATGCAAAATTTATAATTAGGTCAAAAAAGCAATCTTAGGTTAGATTAAATTTCAAAAATAAAACTATCGATTTCAAGGGCAATCAAACATTAAGTTCCTCTTCTTCAGCTGCAGAAATAAAAAATGACATATATGTTCAAAACTCGCCAATCTAAGGTTGGTTTTTTTTTTTTTTTTTGCCTAATTCTAAAAAGCAGGCTGTTATTAAACATTAACATAATTCTTCCACTTAATACACAAATGAAGAAAAGAGAATTAATTCCAGTTTTTTTCTTTCATGATTTAATAATAAACGCAAAGGGAAAAAAGGAACCTGCAATTTGAAAGAAAACAAACTACAGTGCATTTTTAATCTCTCAATTTATAATAATCTACAAAATAATTAATAATTAAGTATTATTAACTCTTTAAATGTTACAAATGCATACAGAATAACATCTTCTCTTCTAAATTATAGCTATTTTTTCATGCACAGTTACTTTAAGGTTATTTTTTCAAATTTAAAACAATTTTTTTGTTGTGAATTGCTTCTTTGAAGTCAGTATCAACATGACTACCTCATCATGCCTCACTTCCTATTTCAGAGGGAAAAGCTTCTACAAGCCAGGGCCTTCTCCTCTAAGTCCTGCCTATACACAATATTTTGTAGATTATTTTTTTTTTTTTTTTTTTTTTTTTTCATATGTTAAAAAAAGTCCAGGGTTGAAAGGATTATTGATACTTTCAGATTATTAAGGTGATCAAAATATTTAACACCAATTAACATTCAAGTTTAATATTATTACCATTAGAGATGATAGTACCAAAATACATAAGCTCAGAAATGCCCGTGAAAATAAAAGAATTTATTTGCAGTGAAAGGAGGATTATGTGCTCCACTGCCATACATTTTCATTTTACTCTCATTAATGGTTAGCCCAGTGTCTCTAGTTGCAGACTTTCGAGAAAAGTCTGCACAAGTCATCCAGCAAACATTATAATTTTATAGATCTCTGAGAAAATGGTACCTCTAGTTATAATTTCAGCATCTCTAATAGTCTTTTAACCTTTTGAAGATGGGATGGCGATTATAGTGGCCTCTTTGAAAAGACGGGTTATCCACTTTAGTAGCCATGTCTTTTTTCCTCATTTTCCAGTCTCAAAAGTGGGGTGAAATGTCAAATTTGACGTCCCTAGGGCTTTAAAAAAAAAAAACAAAAAAAAAAAAAAAAAAAAAAAAAAAAAAAAAAAAAAAAAAAAAAAAAAAAAAAAAAAAAAAAAAAAAAAAAAAAAAAAAAAAAAAAAACAAAAAAAAAAAAAAAAAAAAAAACAAAAAAAACCACTTATCTCTTTCAAAGGTCTTCCTTTTGCGACATAGATGCACCCTCTGAGAATCCATTAAAACACACAACAAGAATCTTCATTGCAAATAGTAGGTGATTTTTTAAAGGGGGGGAAGCATTCGGTTCAAGATTCCCCGTCCTTTGGTAGCTTTTACTGCTACCAAAGACCCGGCCTCAAAAGGTTAATTTAAAATATCCGCTCCATCAACTTAGTAGCAATGTTCGCTAATCATTATATCAACCAGGTACAAAATAATGCGACGAAATATGTTTAATTACATTTCTAAGCTAATAACAATCAAAATTTTAAGATCAGTTTCAGTTTAAAATACAGAAAGGCAAACTTGATAAAACATTGCCAAATCTGAGTCTTTGTACTTTTGACAAGCTTAGGAAAACATCCCCTTAGTGTAACTACTATTCTGAACACACTATCATTTCGCTAAGAAATCTGTATGAAAACATCATATAGAGTCTTTCAGCATATCGGTTAAAACCTTTCAGGAGCGATGGAGTACACGTACATTATGGGAAATATGGGAAAAAAATTTTTTCCCCCCTCAACATTTTTTTCCAACAATATGCTAGCCGAATTACGCTTATGCTAGAACTTTTATGGAACAAATGTGCTTAATCATGACGAAGATTAGGTGCGAAATTGGGAGAAAGTGCAGAATCGGCCACTGCTTGCGCGTTTTTAAGAACTGCACATACACAGTATCCATGTACACGTCGACCTATTTTCACTTTAAAAAAAATCCCAGAATTTCACAAAATAGCATTGCACACACTCTTGACTTTATCCATGTACACTGCTAAAGTCCTAGCTAGTAACCTTTACCGCCTTACTAAAATGTTACCATATTCCAAAGATTAGCCTCCTAGGGTTATAGTTTTTAAAATAAGATTGTATTATCTGATGACAGTACACTTAATGTATTCATCCAGTTATAAAATGGTGTGTCACATAAAGAATTAATTATACAATTAGCAACATTTAGTTTAGCAGAAGTTGTTCTAGTGATGGCAAATACTGATTCTACAGTTATTAAGCAATAATCTTAGGTAGGCTCTAGTGTAGAATTGGGTGCCCCTTCAATTAGCGACAACTTTTTAAAAATTTTGCCGATGAAACCTCACTTCTGGTTACCATGATAGTTTTACATTTGTTTTAGCTTCCTGATTTTTAATGAAAATGATTGATGTGTACATGGATAAATTTAAGGCAGTGCGCAATGCCTAATTTGTGCAATTCTAGTAAGTTTTTTTGGTTGATCTTTACAATATGGTTAACTGGTAGTTTGGCGACATTTTTGGAGGCGATTAAAGGTTACTATGGGACTTTGGTAATAATGTGAGCAGTACTCAGTTCCGATTACGCATTATTTTGTGTGAGGGAAATGAGAGATCATGGGATATTGTCATGTGATATTAATGGACGAATTACGGTTCTTAATCGGAAAAAAAAGGGGGGAAATCGGGAAAAAATCTGGAAATTTTGTATTGGTTTATTCTGTTGTTGTGTGAACAGTGTTCGTGAATTTTGGATCCCATGGCCGTAACTAAAGAAAAGTTTATCAGACACGTAATCAAGATTCTGAAGAAGATTAGGTAAGTTAGTATTTTTAATTATTTGAGGATATTATTTTTATGCATTGTTGTAAATGTAAGGTGGAAAGGAATTTGGTATTATTGGGAAAATTGTTATTAGCAATGATTTAGTTTAAAGTAATTAGGATTGTAAGGTAATTTTTTATTAATTTAATGTATGTGCTCATTTATATTTTAAGTAGTAGTGTTTTTGAATTTAATTATATTTTAATGAAATGATAGTTATTTTGTGAATTTTATGCTTGTAGGAATTTGGTTATACGTTTAAGTTTGAAATAAACGTGCATGGAAATAATTTAAATATTTTTATACTAAATATTTGTAATGCTTCATGTATGAATTCGTTGGTGACGTGTATAATGTAATAGATGATTTAGAGGTAAAAGTGTTTGGATATTTTATTTATTTTATATGTGGAAATGTTCATATTTGGAAAGGGGGTAAATACTTTTTCGCGATCATGTAATTTCATATATGTTCTTTTTTACCCCGGTTTAAAGATTGAGAAAAATTGTCATGTATTTTCGTGAAATTTTTTTTAATTTATGAGAAAAAAGCAGTGTACATGGATATAGTGAAGAGTGTGCGCAATGCCATTTTTGTGCAATTCTGGGATGTTTTTTTAAGTAAAAATAAGTCGACGTGTACATGGTTCAGTGATATTTTAATGAAATGATAGTTATTTTGTGAATTTTATGCTTGTAGGAATTTAGTATACGTTTAAGTTGAAATAAACGTGCATGGAAATAATTTAAATATTTGATACTAAATATTTGTAATGCTTCATGTATGAATTCGTTGGTGGACATGTATAATATAATATAGATGATTTAGAGGTAAAAGTTTTTGGATATTTTATTTATTTTATATGTGGAAATGTTCATATTTGTAAAGGGTAAATACTTTTTCGCGATCATGTAATTTCATATATGTTCTTTTTACCGGGTTTAAAGATTGAGAAAATTGTCATGTATTTTTGTGAAATTTTTCTGATTTATGAGAAAAAAGTAGTGTACATGGATATAGTGAAGAGTGTGCGCAATGCCGTTTTTGTGCAATTCTGGGATGTTTTTTTAAGTAAAAATAAGTCGGCGTGTACATGGTTTATGTGTATGTGCTATTTTAAAAATGCGTAAGGAGGATGGTATTGTGCAGTTTTTCCTAATTTTTTGCAGTGAATATTTGTCATGATTAAGCAGTTTTGTTTCATAAAATTTCTAGCATAAGTGTAATTCGGCTAGTAGATTGTTGGAAGAAGTGTTCAGGAGATAAAAATAAAAGAAACATGTCTTTACTTCGTGAAGACAAAATGGCGGCGGGGAAAAAAAAATAGAGGGTTGCTGTAGGAGAGTTGGTCGCCAAATTTTCGCCAAAAAATCGCCAAGTTACCATAATGTAAAGATCAACCGTTTTTTTAAGTGAAAACAGATCGATGTGTACATGGACACAGAGTTTGCGCAATTCTTTGACTTCTTATTTTGGTTTTGTGTAGTGGCCATCTTGAAATTGTGCCTTCCTGGCGACGATCTTGGCATAAAAAAAAAAGGAGTTGCCAAGAAACAAGGGGCGCCCAATTGTAAACTTTTACCCCTTAACATACCATGCATAAAATCTTAGTACAACTATACAAACCTAAAACTATACAACTGTAATTTCAAATAAAATCTAAAATGCTTACTGAGTTTCATAACTACGTAGCAAGACTTCAGATCTATTTTTCAGGTGTTATAATTTTAATTTTAGTCCTCAGATGCTTTTATCCTTATATTTGCTATATCAGCTCCTATAGAAGTTATTTAAATGACTAGAGAATAATATATCATTTCTATTGATGAATTACTCCAACAATGAGTTTAACATATTCATCTTTTATATATATATATATATATATTAGCAACATCACTTAAAATAAATAAATTAACAACAGATTACATTACATTAGCTATTAAAATAATATATCAATCTGGAGCAATAATATATTTACCTCCCAAACATACTTTAGCAAGTCAGAAACCAATGCCACCACAAATAATTATAGAATGTTTAAAAAGGAATAAAATAAAATAAAGACTAAAAAATCATAATGCAAGCTGAATTCAAAACTGTTAATTGGCATGGAAAATGGTAATAAGACACACTTGAGTTACATCAGTCTCTCGATAAATACAGAAATAATAATTACCTGGTGGTAAGCTGTTAGTTTTATTTGACCTACTCCCACTTTCATCATCACTCACATGATAATCTGAGTAACCACCATCAGAATCATCGTATGGTTCTTCATTGAAATCTAGATGATGAATTCGTTTATAGTCTTTTACCATATAAGATGGAGGTTTTGATATTCGACCAGATCTTGTTCTGGGCCTGTGTTTTTTCTTTTCCTCACGTTCTTCTTTCGATAATGCAGGATTTCCTTTTTCATCATCATCTATTCTTTTATTCAAAGATTTCCTGGGTCTCCCTCTCCCTCTGCTAGAATTATGTCCATGGACAACAGGCTTAGCATTTGTTTCGGCATTAGATTTTTTGTTCTGCAACTCTGATGGATGAACAACTCGACAAACAATTCGCGTATTAGTGGATGGATCATATAATACAGATTTTCCTCCATTCTGTATCACTTTCCTAGCATGCTGCCTTTGTAATACATGAGTAATCTGCTGCAATTGCGCTGGTGTAAGCACTTGAGTAGAATGATATTTATCACCATTCTGAATGATTTGTATTGGATTTTCCACAGATCCCAATGGAGCTGTAGTCTGTTTGACAGGAAGTTTTAATTGAGTTATGTCAAAACTACTTGATGATGATGATGATGATGATGAAGAAAGAATGGATGTTGATGGGGGAAGAACTGTTTCTTTAACTTTTAATACATACTGTGAACTGAGTGTGTTTTTAATGGGTGATTCTATCAAAGAACTGTCTGAGCATACAGTGTTTTCTGAATTTATTTGAGAATTACTGCTAATTGCCTTTGTATCAGCAAATACTTCAACACTGCTGCTATTGCCCATACAACTAAGTAACTGCATATCATTACTGAGGCAGATTTTGTTTGATTCTTCAGAATAGGGAGGTGGTTGAGGTTGAAGAATTTGAGAAACATTTAAATCTGGAACAGTATTATTTCCATTTAGTGATACAGTTTGTAAATCTTTCCTTGCGACATCAGTATTCACAACTATACTGTCAATCGAATCAATATTCTGAGTATTAACGACATCACTAGATGATACTATACTGTCTGAATTTGTAGAATTGATATATGAATGATCATTGAGATGCTGAATATTATCCTTTAAAACAGAATTCTGTACATGGCTAAAATTAGACTGATCATATCCATCAGCTTCGTTTAAAGCTTGCTGCAAGATATCAGTAGAAATCACGTCTTTTGCAGCTTTCGATGTGAGAGTATCAGAATAACCATCTAACCGAGCAGCACTTTCGGTTGGTGGCATGCCTGTGTTTACTATTGATGTTTGTTGTGAAACTTCGTCCGCCATATTAGTTACAATCTTATTATTTCTCATCATGATCAAACTTTTCTCACACAAAAGTACTTCATTTAACAACGCCTCAAAAACTTAAAAAATGCAATTAATTTTTTGAAAACATGAAGGCAAGTTCTTGAAATTTACGTCATTTCAAATATTAATCAACAAACTTCCACCGTCGCACTTTTAATTTCATAACCATTGCCAATACAATTGAAATAATACATACAAATTTGAAAATGAAAACGGTAAGATTTTAATTTATAATCCGCCTTGAAAAATTAATGACTTTTAAATAATTGGTATGTGTTATGAAATTTATGAAGTTAGAATCATAAATTTCTGTCAAGGTCAAGTAAGACGTTGCATGTCATTACGACTAATACTTGTCGTAATCGAGGTCGAGAAACTGGTTGTGATACAGATAAAATTTGACAAAAGACTTCAGAGTCGATTCATTCCTGCTTAAGGCTGCTCACCAAATTTCTGTGAGGCAAGAATGGAGTACTGGGTAGTGTAAAAGAGCTGAGGAGTAATCATGATAAAAGAAAGAAGTTATAATAAGTTTTATGGCAAGATTTATTTCTGTTGTTAAAAAAAAAATAGTAGTATTGTCTTCATGAAATAAGGAAATATATATTTAAAAACATACGTGCTTGGTCTTTTGCAAATGACAACCACTATTTCAACAATGCCTGCAACAATTCAACCTGCAATTTACTCAAGGCAGATACTTTCCTACAGTATTTTAAAATAACTCGCTTTCTCAGGAAAAATAAAGAAGTATATGAAGTTTACCTGGAGCATACTTTTGATATAAGATTAGTTTTGAAATACGAATCTGATATAGAATTAGTTACCAATAGTAATTTTTGATTAACTAGTAACAAGCATATTTACAGTTTTTATCGGAGATGGGATAAACTTGTCATTGCTATCAAAATTATAGGGTTACACTTAATAACATTATCGAAGCGAGTTAGCGCTATGTTTGAGATCAACGACAGAGCCTCGAAACTGTAGTAACCTTTTATTAAAACAGAACTTAAAAAATTAGTGCATGCTTTTATGCTATAATGACCACAACTAGTGGTGATACAAAACAAATAGAGCAGTTCAATTTAACTTAAACATTGAACTGCAATCAAACATTATACAATTAAATACTATAATAGACGCTGCGTCAATGACTATACTGAAGAGCCGGAAAGAAAGTCCCGGCAGCGAGATACCGCCAAACAGAATAATTACAACTATTAGAGCTAGCAGGAAACTAAACATGTACCCCACACGATGCCCGAAACCCACTCTGCATGAAATCCAAAAACCTCATCTTCAATACTCAACACTAATTTGAAGTCTGATGAGGAATACGGAAAAGAGAAGTTACAGTAAATATTGAGATGATAAGTAATTAGTTAATTGACATAAGAATCCCCACATTTTGTCTATCAGGATTTAACCGCAACGAAAGTCTTTAATGATCTTGCTGAGATTTTAAATTCTAAACCTATAACATGAGCCAAATTTTACAAACATATGTTTAAGAGTCTAAAACTAAATTAAAATTTTTACAGAAGATTCAATTTTCATATGTAGATGTTAATATCATCATGATTTTATCTTTGAATCATATCTTCTTCTAAGCATCTGGAAGGATAAACATCTTCGTGTAGAACTGAAAATTCTACGTAACCGGTGCACGTAGGTGAAGACCGATGTGTATTGAAGTTATATTTATTACAGTAGAGGAAATGATATAATATCTTTGATATAATAGTTGACAGATTATTATAACTTTACAGATAATTTGAATATTGGTTATCTGGTCCTTAAATATGCTTTTAGATACGCGTTGAATATATGAAATATGAATATCATTATTTTTTGGACAGCTGAATGTAATTTTTAAACAATTCCTGAACATTCAGTCTATGTTCTGTAAATGATCTAAGTTATCCAACTTTTCTTCTTGTTCGAATTGTATAATTGTACAATTATTTATACGAAACGGATGGATGTTAAGAGTAATGAACATCGAATATGGAAGTGCAAATAGTTTTGCGCAAAAAATGCTAAGTAATACGAGTCCAAAATTTAATTGATCTGATGTAATAGTTCGGATACCCAAAACATGATATTCAGTTTTCTGAGAAAACAGAAGAAATGTATAGTTATGTGTTAAATCTAGTTGATTAATATGTCTTCAAGTTCGACTGATGTGACACAACTTCGGAAATAATATGAAAGTGAAGAAAATTTTCTATGAGAACTGAGATTTTTAAGACATTTTTGTATTTTCATAGCTGTTTTGCAGCATGTAAAGTCCTCAAGCATTTATAGTATACCGTAATTATTCCTAAATGTTTATGAAAGATGATAAATATTTGATTTTTTTGTTAAAAGTTTTGGTATTATATAATAAACATCTGTAATAAAACTTGAATGGTACTCCCTAAGTAATATGAAATGTAGACATTTTTTGAAAAAGAATGGAATATGTTCTAACAATCTATAGGATAAAACGCATTGTCAAATCAAAGGTGCTCAAGGCTTTTGCCAACGACAGAACGATTAATTTCGCGGGCTTGGGCTGATTATAGGTCAGAAAAGTGGGCATTAGTCAACAACAACAACAGAATGAAAGGATAAAAATCATGTGTGGAATTCAGTATATTTTCAGACTACATATTTACAAATTAAAGAATTGGATAAATGCGTTAAATTTTAGGGGAAAATGTGTTTTATTAATTGGTTAAAGCAATTTCGTGTCATTTAAATGGTATATAAAGTAAAGGAAAAAAAAACAAGTCGGATGTTTTCTACTAGATTTATGTCTATATTTAACTTGTAGAATTCTACTGATAACACAAGTAACCGAAATAGGGTTAAATTTTTTAAAGTATATAGAATGATACGATTATATACAATATCTGAGTGTTTGTCTATTTGAAAATAGCATTTAAGGGTGTAATATGTATAACTTTCTTCTGAGTTCTTAGTGAAGAAAAGCATGCACTTGCTTAGTTATGAATGATAGATAATTTGTTTCTCTACTCATATAATATAAGTTGTATATATGTTATATGAGTAGTATATATAGTCATATATACATAGTTATAAATGCTCCATAAGTTTAATCTTGATTGACCTGGCTCTACTGAGGTCATTAAGAAAAGTAAGATTTTATTGAAATAGAATTGCTAAGGAGATTACTGAAACCAGATGAATGAAATTATCGCATGATAGCAAGTGTGCTAGAACTTTCTATACATATCATTACATGAATAAAATTTGATTGGCTAAAGGTATAGTTTCTTGATTCATATTACCCGACTCGTGAACTGAGTGATTCCTTGAACCGCATATATAAATTCATAGCCTTCGAAATCATTATTGTTCTTGTGCCTCGTATTTATCCCCTGCCTCGTGTTTATCTTCTGACGAACTTGGACTAATATGCATATGTAAATAATTTAGAAGACTGATTTATGTAATTATTTTTACTATTTCTACTTTCATATATGTTTTGTACTGTATTTAATTGCAATTTTAGCGAGGTATTCCTCAGAAGACTCGCAACCAATGATAAGTCACCTTGCAACCCACGTGACAACTGGTCACTTCCCTTCGCCATTAGCTCCTGCCCTTCTGGACACACATTTCGAACTTATTCTCTTTTCAGCGCCCAAAGAGCAAACATCTGATGACAGCTGGAACACATCAAGCAGAATGCTTGATAATCTCGGCATAAGTGTAACTTGGAACTTGGATCATTATTGTGGTCCCTTGTAAATTTGTTTTACGATTGTGCATTGTTGTTTACTGCCATTTTTAATTTCAAAATTAATACTGCTTCAATCGCCAGTGATACTGTCGATGATGCATTTGTACCTAAAAAGGTAGGTTTTACTTTATTTCATGAAATATATCTTTAACATGTTAAAAAAGAATAAAGTTAAATTAAATATAAATAATTCTCTTGCGCCATTGCACTTAGTTTGGCATGCTGCTCCACTTTCCAAATACAAATATAGTTGATAAGTTAAATTAAAACTTACTTTTTACTTGCCTTTTTAGTATTATTTTAGTAGCATTTATGTATTTTTTTATAAATACTATCTAGTTTCTGTTTGATTTATTTGCATAATTCGTGTCGGGAAAGTTTTTTGTAGGCAAGAATTTCTAAATTACTTTGGTTTTCTACTCTTAATTGATTTTAATTATTCTAGTCTTTACTTTCTAATTTCTCTAAATTCCCCTTGTTTAAATTTCTTTTTAGTAATTCACAACATTTGATTTCACAACATTTTTACTTTTGGTTTTGAATTTTCCTTTTGCACTTGCCTACATAGATGACGAAGCACGAATTGAATAATTGAAGATTCAGGTTCGGAGGCAACTTCCCCTTGATAAGTCTGTCTCCTGTCTGCTCAACAATTATTCACTTATGCATTTTTATAAATTTTTGGAATTATATATTTATTCATGGATTTTGATACTTGCACTTGATTTACATATGCTGTCAGAATTTAAATGATGTAGATTAGTTCGCAGCAATAATTCATCATTTATTTGTAATTCAATTTCATTTAAAATTTAATTAACATTAAATTTGCTTTCTACGAATAGAAAATGTTTGTTAAATTTGTTGTTTGTTAACATGTTTAAGGTGTATTTCATATTTAGTGTTTATATTGTTAGAACAGGACACTCTTAGTGGAAAATAAATTTGTGAAAAATGGTTCATTGCGAAAATGTTACGTTGTTAATGTTTAAGATCCAATCATTACAGCGTTACAATCGAAATTACAATAATTACAGCGTAAGGTATGCATACGTATGAGCAATGTTTAATCAAATTCCTTTCTTGATCTGTGAGTGTTTAAGTATAAGTAAAGTAGGATAATGCGGAAATGTGTTAAGTTACTCTAATATTTAACATTTTCGATTCCAGGCAGACGAGCTGGCGCATGGGCGCATTTTCATGGTTTTTCCATTTGTAACGTGCATACGAGGCAGTTTACCTTAGAAAGTCCTTCACGAAGACATCCCTTCCCTTAAACAGATTTTTCCTAGTAAGCTTTGCCGTAATTTCAGTAAAGCAAACCATTCTTATGTTTTCTATAAGGTAAGCCCAACTTGTGATGAAAGGTTCACAGTGAAACGGAGCTTGATTCGTTACCTAAAGATCCATTCAGGAGAGAAATTCTTTAATTGTAGGAATG